ACACATCACTGTGTAATTAGTAAGTTCATTTTATTTATATAGCACTTTTCACAGACATTTGTCACAAAGAAGCTTTACAGATCATTATTCAGTCACTCCAGACTCGGTGGTGGTAAGTTAATATTGTTGCCACAGCTGCCCTGGGGCAGACTGACTGAAGCGCTGCTGTCAGTCTGGGCCATCGGTCCCTCCAACCACCACCATCACTCACACACACACATACACACACACACCACTTTCATACTAGACAGTGTGGGTGAAGTGTCTTGCCTAAGGACACAACAGTAATAATACAGTATAATAATATGACTAGACTCAAATAAAATCATGTTTTTACATTATGAGTGTTTTTATAGCACCAGAAAACAGACAGTTGTGCGTCTGTACTGTAAGTGAGCTTGCAGCTCCACAAACCTGACTTGTATTTGTCCTAGAGGATGGCCTCCTGCTGCTTGTTTCCATGGAAACGTTGTCCCTTTGACTATATATTGATTCATATTCCACATTATGGCATAAACGTATCTCTGTCCGTTGAGAATGTTCCTCAGTATGGTTTTAATTTTCTATTTTATTTTATTATATAAAGACGTCCTTATTTACTCAGGACAGTCCCAGTTTTTTTCTTTTTTTTTTTGACTATGTTAATGTGTGCACTATGTCCCCATGACAACCGCTGAAGATTCCTCCACACACATACATACACAGAAATCACAATTCGTTTAGACAAATCTGTTTTTTCTCTTTTTTTTTTTGTATTTTTCCTGGTTTATTAAATATATAATTTTTGCCCTTGAGCATTTATTATTTTATTTTTTTTAAACTATGTTTAAGTGTGCATTGCATCCCCATGGTAACCGCTGAATATTCTGCCATACACATACATACACATAAATTCCAAGTCGTTTATACAAATTTGTCTTTATATATATATTTTTTCCTTTTTTTTTTTTGAGACAATGTTTAAATGTGGATTATGTCCCCATGACAACCGCTGAAGATTCCTCCACACACATACATACACAGAAATCATAATTCGTTTAGACAAATCTGTTTTTTCTCTTTTTTTGTATTTTTCCTGTTTATTAAATATATAATTTTTTGCCCTTGAGCATTTATTTTTTTATTTTTTTATTTTATTTTATTTTTTTTCTATGTTTAGTGTGCATTTGCTTGGTAACCGTGAATGTTTCGTTTAAGTGGTGGTATTTTTCCTGTTTATTAAATATATAATTTTTTGCCCTTGAGCATTTATTTTTTTTATTTTATTTTATTTTATTTTTTTACTATGTTTAAGTATGCATTGCGTCCCCATGGTAACCGCCGAACATTCCTCCGTGCACATACATACACAAACAAATTACATTACAAATCCATACAAATTTGTCAGTATAATTTTTTTTTTTCCACATTTTTTTTTTTTTTTTTTTCTCTAGTCAGTCCACACACAAAACAGACAAAAAGCTCTTGTTGCACATTCCTTTCTGACGTCAAACGCGCTGCCCCCGGGCACGAGACCTCGACCCAGACACGAGGAATCCGACCCACAACTTCCAAGGTGTATGTGAGTATAAAAAAACGTAAACATGGCAGAAATAGACCCATTGTTGCGTCTGTCGCTGCCGGCGTCGTCCGATTCGGCGCGGTGTCGGGGGGCAGGGAGGTCAGGGACGGACGCCGCGACGGGACGAGGTCATGTGATCCGGAGTCACGAGGCCCCGCCCACTTCCCGGTTCAGCGCGCGGGGAAGGAGGTGACATAACAACAGGGGAATGGCATTTTGTGTCGGCGATTTATTGGATTATCGCAGTTGATTTGGTCTGGAGGAAGAATTTAAAAACCAAAAATACACGACAAACTCTTTTATTTGTATTTTTTGTGTTTGTTTGTTTCATTCCTAAAGTTTAAAAAGACATTAACAGTGTCATAACATTAAACATACAAGAAAATAATGAAAAGGAGCAGAAAAAAGAGAAATATTGTGTTTTCCGCCCTCTTAAAATTACGCAAATTTGACTCTTGTGGAGTTTTTAGTCGTGTTCTGTTCAAAAATGCTCAAAAACGTTGCCAGCTGGACTTTGTTTGTTTCATTCACACATGTTTGATCTACATCTCCAAAGCTGAAAATGCTCTGTTCCACGTTGTGATGTCACAAAGCTGTAGTTTGCAAATGTTACCTTTTAGTTTTAATTCTGTAGAGTAATTGTAGTTGTAGTTGTTATTATTGTACTTGTTGTAGTAGTTATAGTTGTAATAGTTGTAGTAGAAATAGTAGTTGTAATTGTAGTGGTATAGTAGTAGTAATAGGTAGTAGTAGGGTAGTAGTAGTAGTGGTATAGAGGTAAGTAGTAGTAGTAGTAGTAGTGGTAGTGTGTGTGTAGTAGTAAGTGTGTTTAGTAGTAGTAGTGATAGTTGAGTAGTTAGTAGTAGTTGTAGTTGAGTCGTGTAGTTGGTCGTGTGTAGTGTAGTATGTAGTAGTAGTAGGTATAGTTGGTTGTAGTAGTTGTAGTTGTATAGTAGTTGTAGTAGTTTGTAGAGTAGTTTTGTTAGTTGTTGTAGTTAGGTTGTAGTTTGTAGGTTGTAGTATTGTAGTTAGTTTTGTTAGTGCGGTAGTGTAGTTGTAGTAGTTGTAGGTAGTAGTAGTTGTAGAGTGTTGTAGTTGTAGTAGTTGTTGTAGTAGTTGTAGTATTGTTGTAGTAGTTGTAGTAGTTGTTGTATTTGTTAGTAGTAGTTGTTGTTAGTTTGTTTGTCGTTGTAGTAGTAGGTAGTTGTAGTTGTTAGTAGTTGTTTGTAGTAGTTGTGCAGCAGTGCAGCATTGTAGTAGTTAGTAGTAAGTAGTTGTATAGTAGTTAGTAGGTAGTAGTAGTTGTATCTTTGTACACACTGGGTCACCTTAAGAAAATAAAAATGAAAGTTTATTCGTTCAAAAAACGTCTTGATCATGAATTTACACAACCTCATGTTGAATAGAAAATACAAACATTGTTTTATGATTACAAAATAGTTGGTATTTTCTCGCTATATAAAATAAATAAATGAAGAAGTATATTAAAATCACAATACAAACAAATCAAAACATAAATAATCCTCATAAAATTAAAAAGAGACATTAAATTAGAGAGAAAACACTCAAAAATGTGAAAAACTAAATCGTATCTGAAGAAGCGGTGCAAGAAAAACAAACGTTCAAATCATTTCGTAATATTCATTTCGGCTTTTGTCACTCACAGCGGCAAACAAAACTCTTACTCGAGTAAAAGTACTTGAGTAAGTGTAAGCAGTACCACCAGCGTACGTCTGAATCGATAATTCTTGGGATAAACTGGAGACTGTCCCGTGCCGCGTTGATTCTGTTTCGTCATAATTGAGTTTGTTTGGACGAGAGCACGCGTGTTTTCTCTCACTTCCTCTTTTGTTTTTGTTATTTTTACATTTCAAGGGTCAAAAAAACAGTTCTTCACATGCTCGTTCTTGTGAAACCTTCGACACGCGTTGGTCATTCGACAGTCAGGGCTCGAACTCATGTCGGAGTTTCACAATAAAACTAAAGAGACACAAAAATTCCACTGGATTTGAGATTGTAGAGGAAAAAGTTACACAGTGTAGCTTTAACGTTTTAGGGATGTAACCATAATCGAAATATCGTGAAATCGCAGTGTTGGAGCGTCAAAAAATAGGCTTAAAAAAATATCTCAGAATCACGGACTGATGTTAATTATATTATTATTAAATAATACCAAATGTTCTGTTCACTTCCTGTTCAATCCCAGGTTTGATCCTGATTCAGTCCTGGTTTAGTTCTTGTTCAGTCCTGGTTTAATTCTGGCTCAGACCTGGTTTAGTCCTGGTATAGTCTTGTTTGTCTTTTTGTCTTGTTTGTCCTGGTTTAGTCCTTGTTTAGTCCTTGTTTAGTCCTGTTTAGTCTGATTTAGTCTGGGTTCAGTTCTGGTTAGACCTGGTTTAGATCTGTTATCCCATTTAGTCTGGTTCAGTTCTGGTCAGTCCCTGTTTCCGTCCCGGTTTGACCTGGTTCAGTTCTGGTTTAGACCTATTTAGACTGGTTAGTCCTGGTTCAGTCCCTGTTCATCCTCATTAGTCAAGGTTAGCCTTGTTTAGACCTGGTTAGTCTGGTTCAGTTCTGGTTTAATCCTGGTTTGAGCCTTGTTTATGAGCTTGTTTAGACCTATTTTAATCCTGGTTCAGTCCTGGTTTAGTCCTGGTTTAGCGCTTGATTAGTCATGGTTTAGACCTGGTCCAGTCCTGGTTTTAGTTTGGTCAGTTCTGGTTTAGTCCTGGTACAGTCGTGGTTCAGTCCCGGTTTAACCCCTTTTTAGTCCCGGTCAGTCCTGGTTAGACCTGGTTTTGTCCTGGTTCAGTCCTGGTTTGTCTTCCTGGTTCAGCCTGGTTTAGACCTGGTTCAGTCCTGGTTTAGTCCCGGTTTAGACCTGGTTAGTCCTGGTTCAGTTCTGGTTTAGACCTGGTTTAGCGCTTGATTAGTTCGGTTTAGACCTGTTTAGTCCTGGTTCAGACTGGTAGACCTGTTAGACCGCTTTAGTCCTGATTTAGACCTGGATTAGACTGGATTAGACCTTTTAGTCCTGGTTGACTGTTAGCCTGGTTCAGTCCTGGTAGACCTGGTTTAGACCTGTTTAGTCCTGATTTAGACCTGGATTAGACTTGTAAGTCCTGGATTAGACCTGGTTCTGTCTGTTTAGACCTGGTTTAGACCTGGTTTAGTCCTGGTTAGTCCGATTTAGACCTGGATTAGAACCTTGTTATCCTGTTAGACCTGGTTTCCTGGTTCAGTCTGGTTCAGTCTGTTCAGTCCTTCAGTTCCTGGTTCAGTCTTGTACCCCACTTAAAAAATCCCCACTACACCATTCTACCTTTACATTGTACTTCTACTTAAGTAATACTACTCTGAAGTACCAGTATTTGTATTTGAGTATATTTTTGACGTCTGATAATAATTATTTTCTTTGTTCTTCTTTGTTTCCCCTCAGTCCTGCTCGCTCAGCCCATCGAGAACGAATGTATGGAGGGTCTGACACTGAAAATCACCGACTTCGGCCTCGCCCGCGAATGGCACAAAACCACCAAGATGAGCACAGCCGGGACCTACGCCTGGATGGCCCCCGAGGTCATCAAGGCCTCCACCTTCTCCAACCGGACGTCTGCAGGGAGGAAGCAAGACTAAAACCAGGTCTAAACCAGGTCTAAACCAGGTCTAAAAACCAGGTCTAAAACCAACGGACTAAACCAGGATTAAACCAGACTATCAAGGCCCCACTTCTCAAGTAGGCAGCGACATCGCGAGGAGAGGAGAGATACGGTTCCAAAACGAGTTAAACCAGGACTAAACAGTCTAAACCAGGTCTAAACCAGGACTAAACCAGGTCTAAAACCAGGACTAACCAGGACCTAAACCAGGTCTAAATCAGGATGGCCCCGAGGTCATCAAGGCCTCCACCTTCTCCAGGGCAAGCGCGTCTGGAGGTGAGGACAGTACGGTCTAAAACCAGGTCTAAAACAGGTCTAAACGAGGACTAAACAGGTCTAACGAGACTAAACCCGAGACTAAACCAGGAAACCTGGATGGCCCCCGAGGATCATCGACCTTCGCAAGGGGCAACGCGTCTGGAGGTGAGGACAGATACGGTCGAAAACCACGCTAAACTAGGTCTTCCAGGTCTAAACCAGGTCTAAACCAGGACTAAACCAGGACTAAACACACGGACGGCCCCCGAGGTCATCAAGGCCTCACCTTCTCCAAGGGCAGCGACGTCGGAGTGAGACAGATACGGTCTAAACCAGGGGTCTAAAGCAGGACTAAACCAGGACTAACCAGATAACGAGAGCTAAACCGGATGGCCCCCCGAGTCCAAGGCCTCACCTTCTCCAAGGGCAGCGACGTCTGGAGGTGAGGACAGATACGGTCTAAACCAGGTCTAAACCAGCTCTAAAAACCAGGACTAAACCAGGACTCATAATACCTGGATGGCTATCATCAAGGCTCCACCTTTGAGGGCGACGTCTGCAGGTGAACAGATACGGTCTTAAGACCAGGTCTAAAACCAGGTCTTAACCAGGCTAACCAGGTCTACCAGGATGCCCCGAGGTCATCAAGGCCTCACCTCTCCAAGGGCAGCGACGTCTGAGGTGAGGAAGATACGGCTCTAAAACAGGTCTAACCAGGTCTAACCAGGTCTAAAACCAGTCTAACCAGGACTAAACCAGGTCTAACCAGGACTAAACCAGGTCAAACCAGGACTAAGAGGATGGCCCCGAGGCGTTCTCCAGGGCAGCGACGTCTGGGGGAGGACATACGGTCTAAACCAGGTCTAAACCAGGTCTTAAACAGGTCTAACACAGGTCTAACCAGCGTCCCCCACGACATCAGGAATCCACCGCTCGAGGTCGCGCGTCCACTTGAGGACAGATACGGTCTAAAACAGGTAAACCAGGTCTAAACCAGGTCTAAACTAGGAAACCAGGTCACCGCAGTTGGGATGCCCCTGAGTCCAAGGCCTCCACCGTTTCCCAGGGCAGCGACGTTGGAGTGAGGACAGATACGGTCTATAAAGGTCTAAACAGGATAAGCCAGAAACGCTAACCAGTCTAAAACCAGGTCTAAAACCAGGTCTAAACCAGGACTAAACAGGAACTAAACCAGGACTTAAACCAGGACTAAACCAGGTCTTAAACCAGGTCTAAAACCAGGTCTAAACCAGGGATAAACCAGGACTAAAACCAGTCTAAACCAGGACTAAACCAGAACCAGGTTCTAAAACCAGGTCTAAACCAGGTCTAAACCAGGACTAAAAAACCAAAAAACCAGAAACCAGGTCTAAAACCAGGAACTAAACCAGGACTAAACCAGGAAACCAGGATAAAACCAGGTTACAAACCAGACTAAACCAGACTAAAACCAGGTCTAAACTAAAACCAGGACTAAAACCAGGTCTAAACCAGCGGAAACCAGCGTCTAAACAGGACTAAACCAGGACTAAACCAGGATAAACCAGGTCTAAACCAACTAAACCAGGTCGAAAACCAGGTCTAAACCAGGACTAAACCAGGTCTAAACCAGGCTCTAAAACAGGACTAAAACCAGGACTAAGTCTAAACCAGGTAAAACCAGGTCTAAAACCAGCTAAACCAGATCTAAAAACCAGAAAATCTAAAAACCAGAGTTAAACCAGACTAAAACCAGGTCCTCTAAAACCAGGTCTAAAACTAGGACTAAAACAGGGACCTAAACCAGGTCTAACCAGGACTAAACCAGGACTAAACAGGTCTAAACCAGGTCTAAAACCAGGCTAAAAGGACTAGGACTATACCAGGTCTAAACCGGACTAAACCAGGACAAACCAGGACTAAACCAGGACTAAACCAGGTCTAAACCAACAAAACCAACTAACCTAGGTCTAAACCAGGTCTACTAAACCAGGTCTAAACCAGGACTCTAAACCAAGGTCTAAAACCTAGGACTAAAACCAGGTCTAAACCAGGTAAACCAGGTCTAAACCAGGACTAAACCAGATCTAAAACCAGGTCTAAACCAGGTCTAAACCAGGTCTAAACCAGGTCTACTAAACTAAACCAGGACTAACCAGGAACAAACCGGAAACCAGGACTAAACCAGTAAACCAGGACTAAACAGGACTAAAACAGACTAAACCAGGACTAAAAGACTAAAGCAAAACTAAACCAGTCTAAACCAGGACTAAAACTAAAACCAGGTCTAAACCAGGACTAAACCACCAGGACTAAACCAGACTAACCAGGTCTAAACCAGGACTAAACCAGGTAAACCAGACTAAACCAGGATGCCCCGATCATCAAGCCTCACCTCTCAAGGCAGCACGTAGGTGAGGACTACGGGTCTAAACAGTCTAACCAGGTCTAACCAGGTCTAAACCAGGTCTAAACCAGGCTAAACCAGTCAAACCAGGACTAAAACCAGGATGGCCGAGGTCATCAAGGCCTCCACCTTCTCCAGGCAGCGACGTCTGATGAGGACAGATACGGTCTAAAACCAGGTCTAAACCAGGACTAAACCAGTCTAAACCAGGACTAAACCCAAACTCTAAAACCAGGTTAAACCAGACTAAACCAGGACTAAACCAGGTAAAAACAGGACAAACCAGGTCTAAAACCAGGACTAAAGCAGTCTAAACCAGGACAAACAGGACTAAACCTAAACCAGGTCTAAACCAGTCTAAAACCAGGTCTAAACAGGAAACTAAACCAGGACTAAACCAGGTCTAAACCAGGACTTAAACCAGTCTAAAACCAGGACTAAAACCAGGACTAAAACCAGGTTAAACCAGGACTAAACCAGGACTAAACCAGACTAAACCAGGACTAAACCAGGTCTAAACCAGGACTAAAACCAGGACATAAAACCAGGAAACTAAACCAGGAAAAACAGGACTAAACCAGGGCTAAACCAGGGACTAAAACCAGGAGGACTTCTAAACCAGGACTAAACCAGGACTTAAACCAGGTCTAAACCAGGAGTAAAACATTAATCTAAACCAGGTCTAAAACCAGGACTAAAACCAGGACCTAAAACAGGTCTTAAACCAGGTCTAAACCAGGAAACCTAAACACTAGGACTAAAACCAGGACTAAACCAGGACTAAACCAGGACTAAACCAGGACTAAAACAGACTAAACCAGGTCTAAACCAGGACTATTTTTGTCTCTGTTTTTTTTTTAAATGTTAATTACTTAATTTTTTTTTTTTTAATAATACGTTTTACATTCTGTAAAAATTTGAGTTTATTTCAACAAAAATCTACTAAATTATTGACCTGCGGAATAATGTCAAATATTTTAGGACACTTTGTACTTTTTACGGCGTTAATGATTTGAAAACAAAAACAAATCACCTGAGAAAACAAAACACATAAAGTTACTCGTTACTGAAAAATCGAGTCTTTTGAGTATTTAACGTGTGCGTATCGGAGTCGATTAGACGAGTGCGAGCGGCGGATGAAGGGCGGCGCGCGGAGACGGGGCGGTGATGGATGTCAGGGCGACCGCAGCGCGTGATGTGTTCAAAGCCCTCTGTGTGTGTGGGACGTTTGAGCAGCACACTGTCCCATTGTTCGAGCTCAGACGGAACAGAACAGAGCAGGTCTCATGTTCACAGCTGGACGACGACGTTCTGCTTTTTTGGTGAAGAACTAGAAAAGTCTCATGTGTTTATCTACTGCCTGGGAAAAAAAATCCAAACTATTTGAATTCAAACTTTTTTCCACAGCGCTCACACTTGACATTTTTAGTTTTAGTTTAATTTTTCTACATTTTGTGCACTTTTTAAAACCTGTTATTGACAAGAGGCTGTGGTTTCAATTAGAGACGATAAAAAAGAAAGTTCAGGGCAAACTGGTCCTGGTTCAATCCTGGTAGTAGTAGTAGTAGTAGTAGTAGTTGTAGTAGTTTGTACTTATAGTTGTAGTAGTGTAGTAGTTAGTAGTAGGTAGTAGTAGCTTAGTTGTAGTTGTAGTAGTATTGTACTTGTACTTGTGTAGTTGTAGTTATGTTGTAGTAGTTGTATAGTGTGTAGTAGTTGTAGTAGTAGTAGTTGTAGTTTGTATAGTTGTAGTACTTAGTAGTTGTATAGTGTGTCAGTAGTTGTAGTAGTTGTAGTAGTTGTAGTAGTAGTTGTAGTAGTTGTAGTAGTTGTAGTTGTAGTGTAGTAGTAGTAGTTGTAGTAGTAGTACTTGTTGTAGTAGTTGTAGTAGTTTGTAGTAGTTAGTTGTACTAGTAGTAGTTAGTAGTAGTAGTAGTAGTTGTAGTAGTAGTTGT